GCACCATAATTGAATTGCAGGAACCACACACGCCTGATTGAAAATTGGAATGGCTTTATATCATAGGTTCAAGAAACTTGTGTAGCAATAAACCTTACCTTTTTTAACCTGTCTTGTATAACAGTAGCTATCTGTTCTCGACTGTACGGGGCAAAGTTTAATAGTTGAGGTTTACATTTAGGTTGAGCTTGAAGTCTTGGTAATATTCTATCTGTTAAATCTAATGCATTGGCTATACCTACAATTATATATACAGTGGTTTAGACAGGGACAGATATAAAAATTGACAAGGTAACATACACCCACTGGCAGCTGTTAGAACTGGCAACTGTTTGTTCTGCTTATTAAACTTATTAAAATAGGCTGAAAAGTTCATCCAACATTTTCATAATTGCTTAATCCACTTATGTTGCAGGCATTCAAATAGTCTTTTGTTACCAACACAAATCTTGAGCAGAATCTTACGTGTGCTCGCGCTTCCATAACAAGATTATCCCATTGCCAACAGGATTTATAATTTCAAGTTTGATATTTGTCACTGATTGTTTTATCGTCTGCAAGACAAAGTGTCATCATCCAATCAGATTCATTTTCCTTTCAATTGCATGCTCAGTATGTAATTTACTATTTATTGACATAGACACAACCAACTTGAGATTTTTTGTCCATGTGAGCCCGCAGTTGGTCTCTTGACTCTTGACAAGACCGTAGTCGGGGACAAAAATCACCGACTAAGACCCTTCATGTGCTCGTAGCATAAGTCTCCCATACCATGTGTCATAATCGTTAGAAAATGTCCCTCAGACTAAAACAGTCATTCAAGGCTGGTTAAAAGTTACCACTCCTTAATTTTACTATGACAAAAAATTTTCCTATGACAAAAAGAATTTTCCTATGACAAAAAGAATTTTCCCTACCTATCAAGATTAATTTAGAATTAGGCAAGGTCGGCCATTCAAATATCGTATATAAAACTTCTTGACTCTTACTATCTAGTTGGTCTATCTCATCTAATACTAGTATACTGAAAATATAGAGATATTTATTTCAAATGTTGAGTTTTACATCCTACTTTTCAGCATCTCAGAGGTTAATAAAGAAAGGCAAGCCATTCAGTGTACAATAAAGCAAATTTACAAATTCTGAAGAAAGTATCTCAATCGTATTTTTTCTACCAGTGATCAGTTTATCCGGCTACATATGAAGTTATGGTTTGGATCAGTGCATGAATTTTCCTCTTGAAATTAGTCCAACAGATCTGCATCTATTCCAGATAAATAGTTTGACAGTTATTGGCTTGAGTAGAGTCAGAAAAACTAGACACTGTTTTAAGGGGATATTTCTGTCTACTTACATGCTTGATTTACTGGTCGTTAGACATTTCTCCATGCTGCGTGTTGGATCACGTTTTCCAGTTAAAGCCTTCCCTGTTATTTCTTGATAGAGTTTTTTAAAAACAGTCGCTGAATCTTTCACCATCATACAGTTTAAATAACATATTTTACATGGGTACGATTCCTGCAAAAAAAATTACAAAATTTGGAAATATTTAAAAAATAGTCTACTCCTGACTAAAAGTAACTTGTGTTCATTTTTTTCATTAGAGCTCAACTGAAAACAACAGAAGACAAAAACATACCTTTACATCATCGATAATATGAAGTAAAGCAGCCGTTTTTCCAGTACCAGGAGCACCAGATATATACAGACTTCCTGCCGATTTCTTTTCTAAATTCCCTTCTAGAAACTCAGTTATCTCCCCTACTTCCTTCTCTCGACACACCAGACGTTCTGGTTTCGCTGTGTGTAACGACTGTTTGACCAGATTGTAAGCAGGATCTACAAAACGGTTAATTAACAATAATAGCTCATCCTTTTATTGACATGTTTTGGATACTCAAACCTCATCAGGACAGCTGGTTTGGAAATGGGTAT